AGGTCACATGATAAAAGTGGGCGGGTCTTCGGGCTGTTTCCGGAAACATGGAGGCTGTTCTCAGCGATGTGGTCGCTCCTGAGGATCTTTTAGTGAGTTTTCACTTTATTTAACCTTCATCTCTCAATCAAACCAACTTGTAACCACAGTAGAAACCTGACACGAGGTCTTTGTAACATCCTCGTGGTTTGTAAACGGCGAAATCTAAATTAAATACGACGTATCGGGGGCGGACTGTGACGCGTCACTTAGCTAGCTAATGCTAACGATGGTGTTTGTGATGACAGGTTTGACATGTTAGCTGTGATCATCAGAGATCACCTCAGGACACGTGATTTAAATGTGATGTCGCCGGTTCGATGACTTCCTGCTCGCGAGGTTTTGTTTGAACGCGGCGGTGAATCGTCTCTGAGCTTCACCATCGTTTTGTTTGTGTCGCGACAGAAATTTGAGAAGAAATACAACAGTGAGCTGGTGAAGGGAGCTGTGTCCAAGGACACCAAGTTTGAATACGCCTGGTGTCTGATCAGGAGCAAATACTCTGAGGACATCAAGAAGGGAATTGTGCTGCTGGAGGGTAAAGCTATGCTTTGGTTTTCATTTTCAAAGCCAGAGGATAATGGATCCTAATAAACTCTAAAACCTGCAATATGTTGAAACACTTCAGAGGAACTTTTACATTTGGTGTTAATAAGAAATTATCAGACCAGATTCATGGCTAGTATCTGTTGTCAGACACTAACTTGCATGTTTCATTTTCATGGTTTGAATTTTTTATATTTTATTTGCAGAGCTCGTTCAGAAATCATCCAAGGACGACTCCAGGGACTTCTTGTTCTACCTTGCAGTGGCCAACTACAGACTCAAAGTTAGTGTTATTCCCTAAAGTGATGCCCTGTGCTGAAAGCATTTATTATCATTTCTACATTGATCTTCACACATTTTTTGCTATTTTTTTTTTTAAACTACAGCCCTCACCTCATGTTTTCCTTCCTCTTCCAGGAATATGAAAAAGCCCTGAAGTACATCCGGACTCTTCTCAGGAACGAGCCGGGGAACAAGCAGGCTCTGGAGCTGGAGAAACTCATCGACAAGGCTCTGAAAAAAGGTAGAAGACAATAAGGAGTCTTAATTGTAAAAGTGATGATATAAATCGTTTCTATTAATTGATGGGTTGAATTGATCTACAATACTGATGTTGGCCTAATTATCATCTAGACGGCTTGGTTGGCATGGCGATCGTTGGAGGTATCGGTCTCGGCGTGGCCGGTTTAGCGGGACTCATCGGCTTGGCGGTGTCAAAAGGAGCTACCAAATCCTAACTGGGATGGGAGATGATGCGCCTTCATTTTGCTGGACTCACACACTGACCCTTCCCCTGCATAAACAAATAATAAAAGCTGAGTGGGGAAAGTTTGAAGGGCGTGTCATCTTGGTTTGAACTAGAATGTGCCAGTGAATAACCTGTTTTCATATTTTAACAGGGTTGAAATATACTATACATACTTAAGTTTGCTATCTGCTCACCTACTATAGCATGGCACTTTCATATTTCTTATGTAAATAAATTAGAATAAACCAGTGTGCGTTTCAGCATAAAATTCCCCAAGTTGACATTTACATTTTGTGAACATATGTTTGTAAAAATGCAGTTGTTGTTCTGTATTTACATTATTTTTGACAAGAGGAATTGTTTTGGAAAGTGCTACTGGTGCAGAGGGAAGTGTAGCTGTGTCATGATAAAAAGGAACAGAGTCATTAGTTTCTAGGTAACAGTGACTCAGCAATACTGCTGTTAGTAAACTGAATGTCCAGTTGCTGCTTTGGGAAAAGAAAATTCTTTTTTATTTGTTCTGAAAACAACTTAAAGTTAAAAAAGCTAAATCACTTATTAGAAATAAACACATTACGTCATCTGCCTCCTAAACATTAATCTGTGCTGCATTTACTGACCTGTGTTTTCATGTTGAATAAATAAAATAATTTAAATACTGAGAAAATAATTGTGGAGCTTATCACTGACAGCACTCTTTGAGTATGACACATCATTTGTATTGGATGGAACTACTAAGAATTCTGTAGAATAATTCTGAAATGAAAATCAAAGTAAAAGCAGAAAAGCCTCTATTTAAGAAGCTTTAACCACTTATTTTTTAAATGGTTACCAATTAACTAATCAAGCAAATGTGTCTTTGTATGTACCTATTGAAGTGTATTAAGTATGAATATTGATTTGTCAAATAAATGTAGTGCAGTAATTCACATATGTTCCTCTGAGTAGATGTATGAAAGTTGTCCCAGTTACAAACTGGCCAAGATAATAAAAAATGTTTCCATGAATTATTTGAATACGTCGACAAAAATGTTAATAAAATAATCTATTCCATGATGTCTCTATAATCGGACATTTCTGGTCCAACACATTGATTCAAGTGCCATATCAGATTTGTTGACCGATTAATGTCTTAAAGCTGTAATAAAATTTAGCCTTATCAAGATTTGACTTAAACACAGTTCCTGTAATCTAGACGCCGTTTCACAGGAAGAAAAACTAAATTTCAACATCGCAGTGTCGTCTGCATGAACGTGTCCCCGTGAGTGTGTCGTTAGGATTTAAACTGTTACAAAAGACCAGAGGAGTAATTTTCCATTTCTTTATTCCTCCTTCATCCAAGTTATTTTCACAAGATTCTTTTATTGATGGAGCAAAGTCCAGTATACAGTCCCAGTCTTATCACTGCCATTTATTGACTCTACTAAATTTACAGTGAAGCTCTGGTGGACACTGTGGAGGAGGAGTGTGTGTGTGTGTCTGTGTGTGTGTGTGTGTGTGTGTGGGGGGGGGGTATTAGGATCATTATCTACTTGTGTGACAGAGGTTGAGTCGTTTACATTCAAACTTTAAAAACGTGCCTGGCCTAGTTCACCCGCCGCCGCTCATCCTCACATCTTGACCTACGGGGGGAGATTCGAGACGCCAGCCCCGCTTTTTACGACAGGAGGCCTTATTGAGACTATCAGTTATGTGCGGCGTTATCAGCCTCGTGGGGTGTTACTCATTAACCCACCTGACAGCACCGAAACTCTCCCCAGGGACATATCAGTGAAAACAACCATCCTCTTTGGTGTGGAAGAGGTGATCGAGTGGGCAAACACAAACACGAGGGAGGGTGGACGTTCCCAAAAAAAGAAAGAAAAATTGATCCCATAGACAAACACAGGAGAAGCCTGTAAATTAACATTTCCAAACTAATCCTGGAGTCGTCTCAAGACTCTTCTCGTGGACATCAATGATTCATCAGCATCAGTGTAGGGCTTCACTGAGTTTCAGCTACGAGGGCCAACGTTCATTGACCCTCCATAGCTGAGGAATATTAATGTGCAATCACCGTGAAGAGAGGGAGCACATGAGGGGACAGGGAGTACTGGAGGAGTGACATCCTGCAGAAATGTCCTCACAGAGGAAATTTGAAATGATTCTATCATCCAGAAGGACAGCAGCTCATTGCGTGTCACGGTATCTTACTGCAGACGGTGACAGACACAGAGACGGCACATTTTCCCACACTTTCAAGTGCAGCTAATGCTCTGATTGTGTTTGAAGAGGATCAAACCTTGAAGAAATGAACAGAAAAACATAAACTTATTCTAGATTTCATTCAAGTTTTTTAGAATATCAGGTTTGAAATGTCTGTTGATAACATATGG